GGAGAGCCCTTCTTTTAAATAACTAATGCCCAGCTGCTGATAATCTCCTAAGTGACCTGTTCTCCTCTTCTTCCTCACCAGACTGTGCACTTCAAGACCTTGGAGCTTCAGTACACAGCGTCTAGCCACAAGTGGCTACTGAGCACTTTAATGATTAGCTGAATAGCTATAAATGCAAAGTGAACAACGGGTCTCAAAGACTTAGCACACATTGAAGTGGTCATATTTTGGATACACTGGATTTCCTTTGTTTCTCTTCTTTTTTCCCAGTTTTCAATGTGACTACTAGAGGAATTTAAATTACACATGTGGCCCACATTATATGCTTATGGGACAGACTGTGTGTCTGTTCAGTACTATCTTATCAGCAGCTGGCTCAATGATTTTGTGTTAAAGAGTCACTCAATCTATAGTTTTTTAAAGCAAGAATGAGCCAGTGAATTCATGAATGAAATTTTTTCTCCAGATGAAGGAGAAACTTTTGGGAAATAGATGCTATTTTGGTTTGAGTTTCCACAAAAGCCTTCTTTGAGACAAGGATTCAAATGCAAAATCTCAGGCTTGGAGAGGATCCTAAAATACCAGAAGAGGAGTAGAAATTGAAAGTGGGAATGGAAGACAGATCATAAAGGGTGTGTTACGAATCCACTGACCACTATGGACAAGTGGCACTTAATCTTGCTGGAAACATTGGAAAACATTGCAGAATATGTGCCTGGTGGTTATTTTCACCCACTTAGGGTACAGAAATCAGGTTACTTATACATCATTTTCCATCAGTTGTTGGTTGAAAGCTGCTGGGGGAAATTGAAAGCTTCTAGGAAACCTGGTAAGAGCTGCTTCTGGAGTGAAAGAGCTGAGGTAGTTATATACCAGTTTTGCATTAGTCATTGGCTGGAAGCTGCTAGCATGTGTAAATGTCCTACTGCGTGATGTGAGAAAGTTTGCATGCTTAACTGCTAGCAAAAGTGGCACGCCTGAGACACAGGGGGTTAGGCCACTCCCACATATGCCTGTTTGGTGTACTGATTATTTTTAGCTGAAAGCACATGAAAAACAACAAATACAGACTTTCTTTGAACTTCCCTTACCTATCTAAAGATAGATCCTGCAAAGGAATAACTGTCATTAGAACCTTCCTGGGAAGTTTCATCCACCAGAGAAAATTAGGTCTTATCACAGGAGAGAAGTCAACACCTTATCCAGTCGAACTATCACAAAGAATCATCCTTTCTTTAAGGGACCATCCCTCTGTCCCACAAATTAGTTACTCTCCTGAAGATGCTAACATCTCTTTCTCTCTGAAGAAGGCATGACTATTGCTAAATCTCACTTTGTTTTTCGGATATCAACTTTTCTTTCCTGTGATGCCCTCATGCATGTAATGAATTTGTATTTTGTCTCCTGTTAACTAACTGTTGTCCGTTTATTTCATAGATTCAATTATTGAAGCCTAAGAGGGAACCTTCCCTGTCCTACAAGGGCACCGCAAGGCATGGTTAATGAAGATTTCTTCTGCACAAGCCCATCCCTTCCGTTGTTTAATAGTAACATTGGTGCCACCATCACGTGGCGCTATGCATCCTGTAAGACGATCAGCAGAACCTCTTTGTAAATCCCTGCCAGCTCCGTTTGCCAGCCATTTCTTTCTCTGCAAGTTCTATCCCAGAGGGCCCAAGCAGCTGTGAGAAACAGGATCTCAGGAGTGAGCCCAGTGTCACCTGATTAAAAGTTGTCCAACTGGAGAGGGGGACTGGAGAGCATCTACGAACGGGTGCAAATTGTACACAAGAAGTTCAATTTCTGATGTTCTATTGCACAGCAGGGTGGCAACTGTATCATACCTTCCCAAACAGCTTGAAGAGAGGGTTTTGAATGTGTTCACCACAAGGAAATGATAAATGTTTATGTTTTGATCACTGTACAATGTGTGCATGTATTGAAATTTCACACTGTACCCTATAGATACATACAATTGGCATGTGCCAGTTAATAACATACAAAGGTGTTTCTCAACTAGGATAGCCCCACTCCTCTGTGATGTGACTGAGTCCGTAGCTCTGCCCTTCACCTCTGTTAACTATTGGTGGATGTTGGTAAACAATTTCCTTTTCACTGGCTTCTCCACTACAATACAAACTTCTCAGAAATGTGGCTGTCACCTTTGGGTTGTTCACAAAACATGCACTTGGGCCTGAAATGTAATGTTTTTTTTTTTTTTTTTTTTTTAAATCTCAAGTTGTAGAAGATGTAACTCTACTCATTATTAAATCACTTTATAGAAACTGGACCATAGCAATTGCATTTGGAGAGGTTAATTTAGTCTGGTTCTGATTTCAAACAGATTAGGAGCAGCTCTGGAATAATTGCATTAAAGACACTGAAGCAAGGCAAAGAAGACAGAAGCAGTAAAATTGAAAATGAGAATGGTTATTTTAGGAGATGTGAACTCCAAGGAGTGCCATTTTTATAGTAATTTTAAATCTACTTGATACCATGAAAATACTTGGAAAATCCACTTTTAGACCCTGTCACTGCTAGAGCGTTACATTTAAGGCTCTTTCCTTTTGTATTTATTTCCCCTCTCTGAAATTCAGGCAACAAACACATTTAGGCTGTTTTAATGATGTGTCAGCTTTTTAGCACATGATGAAATACCTGGAGTTATCAACGTGTAAGTTCAGCCCGTGGTCTCAGAGGTTCCATTCCATTACCCTGCTGCTTCTGGGCTTGTGGTGAAGCGAGAGAAGAGAGTGGTGCAGAAAGACACTGGATTCATGATAGCCAGGAGGCAAAGAGAAATATCCCCAGGCCCTCTGTGACCTTTCTCCTGTCAGGCTCTCCTTCTTAAAGGGTCCCCCAGCCCCAGCAGTCCTGCAGGATGGCAAGCAAGCCTTCAACATACAGGCCTTTTTGGATGTATCCAAACCTCAGTATGTCAGGTCCTAAATAATTCAATTGTATTTTAAAAATAAATACATATAGCATATATATAGTGGAGAGACATTGTTATCAGTTATGGTTTACTAGAAGAATGCATATAATATATATAGAGAGACAGATATATAGAGATCTATCTATATTTCCATCTCTCTCTCTCTCTCTCTCTCTATCTATATCAATGTAAATCTCTCTCTCTCTCATTATTTAAGGTAGGCTTACAATGGCTGCCTGCAGAGTTAGGTGGAGGAGAATGCAAATGGGCTGTCTGTGCTCTGGAGAGCCAGAGGATCCAGTTAAAAGTCAAAAGACTGGCGCTCGCTGCAGAGTTCTCTCAGAATCTCTATGAGGAAGCTGCGGGGTCTGTGCTGGAAGCCTGGAGAAGGGTGTGCGGAGGTACTGGTGAAGACCATGAAGACTGGAGTCACTCCGAAGAGGAGGAGGAGGAGGCGGAGGAGGAGGAGCAGGAGGAGGAAGGGAAAGCAGCAAGTGTCTCGCCTTCCCCTTTTCATTCCACCCAGGCTACGAGCCTACTGGCTGGTGCCACCCACACCCAGGGCCGGTCTTCCGTCTTCAGTGAGGCAGTCATCCAGACACACCCAGAACTGTGCTAAGCCACCCTGCGAGGTGTTTCCTGTTCACGTTGATACCACATTTAATTATCACAGATATCTATGAGACCCTCAAATAGTTAGGGAACCATAATTTTTAAAAGAAAAGTGGATATTCCAATAAAATAATGCAAATTTAAATAAAGCCCCCATTCACTCTCCACCTCTTATTTAACAAACACATGGTAGCACTTGCCCAGAATGCATAACGCCCTAAGTTTGATTTCCAGTACTGCAAGCAAGCAAAGAAGCAAAGAAACAAACACATATGGAATATAGACTTGGCAAATAGAAGTGTCTATCCATAGCAGGTAAGTTGGATAACAGGTCTTTCTGGGCAGAGTGCCCCCATGAAACTCCATCCAATTGTTATCTCCAAGAAATATGAAACCCAGTTTTCCAAATCTACTGACTCTACAAAAGAGATCTCCAGTCCCATATTTTTATAGAAATATTCTTTTTGAAAAAATTGACAATGAATTTAAAAATTTAAAACATGCTACAAACCCATAGAAGCAGAACTGAGATGCAGAGGCTTGCAAGGTTTTGAACTAGGATTTACCATGGAGCAGAAGAGACAGTACTAGGAACCCACTGGGAAAGAACCTCCAGTTTTTCTCTTACAGTTTTCACCTACCTAAATGAGGCCTCTCCAAATTAACAAGTGCATCTTGTTTACTTAAAATTAGCTGACTGAAGATGTTAACCTTATGTATAGATACTGTACCTTCATGGCAATACCAAGATTAGTATTACAGGGGATAACTGGTTATTATAAGCCAGCTAAGCTGATGATAAAACTTACTATCTACTACCAGGATTCAGAACAATGAGAAGTCAAGCAAAATTAAAGAGTTGAAAATAATCCTCCTGACACAAAACTAAAGAAATTCAGGCTTCTCAGAAGAGAAGACAAAAAAGATTTAATAATATCTGTCAATAGTAGTGAAGCACACATTTTCCAAACTGTTATATATTTCTTTTAAGCATCTCAGGTGCTACAATGGATCAGGAAAGATCATTCTCTTCATCTTGAGATAAAGACACTGTCCCCCAACATGGAGGCGGGACTCACATTCAGGAAGTTTCAAAGTCCCAGAGCATTAACAGCTACTTATCTGGACCCTGTGTGAACTCATACTTATTGATGACCTCATTCATTTTCACAAAGTCTCATTATATAGGTGTTATTCCCATTTTACACATTGAGGAAAGTGAGCCCAGAGTCCTGGGAGGCAGCACCAGCAGATCTGAACTGGTTTACCTGATTCTTAACTTGTGTTCTGCGACCCAGTGTGTTGCGTGCCTCCTACCTCACTCCAAATACACACAGGCCATGTCTAGGGGTCTAGTTTACGTTCGCATCTCACCCAGGAGGAGACTGGGGCTTAATATCAAGCAGTAAAATGTGTTTGGTAGAACAGTAGAAATAACTTCGTAGTTACCTACCCATCAGGAGAAATCAAGGGGAGAAAGAAGTTTGCGACCTTGGGGTCCTGGCTGGTTCTAAGATGGATCTGGAATTGAAGATGTAGTTAGTGGTACCCCATATGCTTAGCATGCATAAGGCCTTGGGTTCATTCTCCAGTTTCAAAAACAAAAACCAAAAAGAATTCATCTCTAAAGACCAGAGAAAGCCATAATTATTTAAAGGAAACATGTAGGGAGACTGAATTTTGCTTATTGATTGGAAAAGAATAAAAACACAACACTTTCCATCCACGTAGAAAACCACACACCAACTTGGCTTCTCTTAAATGACAGTGTTTCCTTGGCTTTCTCCTAGCTCCATATTTTTAGTAAAAATTAAATATTCACTGCAAGCCATGCCTTCCTTTCTTGGGTAAGGAATAGGCTCATTTCAATCTAACTTCAAATGAGCAACTAGCAGACTTTTCTTTCCTAGGCCACTGTGAAACCCTCCCACACTATTTTATCCTTTCCCTCTGAGTGATTTTTTCCCTCTCAGAATGTAGAGCATGTGAGAAATCCATACTCATTTTTGCTGAGGAATGAATTTGGAGCTCAAAATTTGCCATCTTTTCAGTTATTACCTTTCCTTTAGACATTCATATTATGGTTACTTCAAGTCTGCTTCTCCAATGATCAAGATAATAACAGGAGAGACAGGGAAATATCTTTCATTGCAGATATTATTTTCATCCTAATTATACTTCCATAATAGTAATCATTCAATGCCTCATAATTTTTAAGCAATGAGCATTGGTAAAAACTGCAAATCAAATAGTAGCAATAAAAACTATATTGAATGGCTGGGGATTTAGCTTAGTGTGCTGCTTCACAAGCACAAGGTCCTGAGTTCAATCCCCGATACCACAAAAAAAAACCCACAAAACAACAACAACAAAAAACTATATTGTATGTTGCTGTGTGCCAAGCACTGGCCTATACACACATTTAAAATTCACACTATTCATCTTACGAGACAGGTAGTGACCAGAGTCCCCATTTCTGCAAGGAGGAAGCTAGAGTGTAGGTCATTTCAGTAACTTGCCTGTTGCATAGGGATGGAGCTGAGTTTAAAAATTAGACCTCTAACTGCAGGGACAGTGTGTGATCCTGGCATGCATGACTCCCACACGACAATGGTGAGGGTTTCACTTTTGTTTCAGTTTTACTTTCTTTTTCAAAGTTCAAAACAGCATTTCGTGGAGGCAGAACAAATGAACACCAATGCTACGGAGGGAAACAGTTCAGTAAATAGGCTGTCTGATTTATTTACCAAAGGCACACAGCTATGCGCCAACCCAGTACCCTTTCTCTCTCTTTTTTTTTTTTTCTGCCAAAATGTGGGGAGCAATTCTACATAATTTTGGGGAAAAATCATTTCACAACTAAATTATGATTAGGCCTAGTTTTCCTCCCTAGGGGCCGGCTATGGCATGTTGAGACGTAACTCCATTTTTGCCTCTGGTCACAGCTAAAACCTCAGTGGTCCTGTGATGCTGTCATGCTCCAGGGCAGGATTTCAGCAGCTGAAGACATCCTGGTTCCTTGAGAACCGAGCAGTAAGAGAAAGGTTTCCTTTGGGGAGGGACAAAGTCCTAACCAGCATAAGTCTTATGGACCTAGGATTATCACAGACCTCTGAGTTGTCCATTACTCCCCATGATCAAGATAAAAGTGTGGGGGGCTCAGGATGCCTTTGTCTTTGCTGCCCAGAGCAGCACTGATCAGGCCCACAGCTCCGCTTCTTCTCTAAGTCTCATTTTCTGTCGTTATTAATGAATTTGCCTTGTGCTTTCGTGGCTCACAGACCAGGACTCAAGGAGGGATTTTGGTAACATCCCCTTTCCCTACACCAAAGTGACAGTAAAGCCTAAAATGGAAAAGTACTTACTTAGATTCGCAAAGTTTTTGGTGCAACTAGAAGCAGTTATCCAGTTAACTATGGCTTCTCATGTAGGTGAGTTTGGGCAAAAGTGCATGGCTTTAAAAATCGTTAAACAGCTCAAGTTCAACAAGGGGACAAGAATATGATAGTTGTGTGCTCTTTATGTAGCGTGAAAGCATGTTTCAGAATATCCCCCAACTCCAAGCCTCTGTTAACTGAAACATCCATAAAAGATGCTCGTAGTTCTTCAAGATCTCATGGTACTCTCATAGCCCCTTCTGGATCATTAAGGAAAACATAAAGTCATACCTGTGTCATGCTGAGGGTACAGTGAGGGGGTCTGCCCTGCTGCTCCTGCTTGTAGGCCGGGTTGGTACAGAAGCCTCTGGAAGTCTAACAGGACCATCTGAGCCACTGACTCTCAGACTAAGGATGAACTACACGGAGGGAAGAGGGCAAAGTGAAAGTGCCCACAACGTTCTGGATGTGGAAGTGGGGCGTTTGGGGCTGGGGGAGCCAGTGAGGCAGCATCCTGGGGACTACCCCAGTCCCAGCAGCTTGAAGGAGATAAGCAAGAAGGAAATGCACAGACTGCTCTGAAACTTCCTCTGCTGGCAGCTCACAAGTGCCTCTCTGAGGTCACATCCTGCGGTCTCAATAGGATGTTAATTAAGATGACCCTTCAATGCCAATTAAATGCTTCATTTGGGCATTTGTGTGTTAATGATCGCTGAGTGATGTCCTTGCCAAGCAGCATCTTGCTGTCTATTTTCAAGCGCTTAATGAATGTTCTTGTTCTGGAGTAAATATGTCCCGTTTTAAATAAGATGAAATGTTTTTTAAAAACATCCATCTTGTGCTTATAGCCTTGATAGTGGTGCTGGTTTGATGGGTGTGTGGTTATCCTCAAACTTATCAGGATGCACACATTAAATATAAACTTTTGTATGTCAATTATACCTCAGTAAAACTGTTTAAAGCCGATCTCACATGCCATTGTATTTGACATTGTTCTTTGACACAAAATTGTGGCCATTAAAAAAACCACGATTGTAGTAAATATTGAGGAGAATATTAATCATGTGGTTTCTCTAGCAGCTCATTTAGCCATTCCAGGAAGATTTTAAAAGACACAGCACTTATACAGTAAATTAAATATAAAGTATTACCTCCTGTCACTCTAGAGCAGTACTCCTTCTCAAGAATTTCAAGCATATTCTCAACATTATTCTGAAGAAAATTCTGTAAATCCTTTATTTTCATGAGGCTTCATTGAAATTCACTCCTTTTAAGTACATAATTCAGTGATGTTTAGTACATTTTATGATTTATTTTAAGAGTGACTGACTGTGGTAGGAGGCTTTGACTGCATTTTCCTCAATCATGTGAATTGTTTCAATTCAGGGATATAGAAATTTTCTGTTTTTAGATTACTCACTTGCACAGAATTCACAGTTTTTGCTTGCTGGAAGATTGAAAAGCCTGCATTTCCTCAGGACAGATTTTAACAATATTTGATTGCCTCTGCATTGATATTGGTATACTGAAAATCTCACCTGGCTAATCCTATTTAACATCACAATACACTCCACTGGCAGGACAGGATGTGTTAAACATGTACCATGCTGTTAATAAATCAGCCTTGTTGCAATCATACATTAAAATGGTACATTCTACTGTCAAAATACAATGCAGTTACTCATTACTAGGCAATTTTTTTGTCTATTTAAATTTATTTTCTCTTTCTTTCTCTCTCTCTCTCTCTCTCTTTCTCTCTCTCTCTCTCTCTCTTTCTTTCTGTACTTGAGATCAACTCAGGACCTTGTGCTTGCAAGGTAGGCACAGTGTTTCCTTCCTTCCTTCCTTCCTTTCTTTCTTTCTTTCTTTCTTTCTTTCTTTCTTTCTTTCTTTCTTTCTTTCTTTCTTTCTTTCTTTCTTTCTTTCTTTTGCCAGGGAATTGAATCAGGGCTTCATCTGGGCAAATGCTCTGTTACTGAGCTGCATCCATTTTTCTCTGCTTTTTGGCAAGGGTGCAATCTGTTTCTTAATGGGCAGAAAATGTCACACTATGCATAAATTAAAGATTCCATAAAGTTTGTACATTTATGAACACATATTAATTGGCTTTTTGAAACAGCTAAAACTGAGTTTTCTGAGCCAACTGACCTAATTCAACCCTACTTTGGTCCACTCTGCAAATACATACTATATATTCAATAAACTCACATTTAATCAAAAGCTAAAGAAGGAAAGAGAGAAGGAAGGAAGGAAGGAAGAGAGGAAAAAAAAAGCAGGCCTAAGAAAACAATTACAGTGGTCAGTTACTCAGGTTCCCTGTGGATACCAAAATTCCTGAACGTTCCAGTTCTTTATATAAAATGGTGTAGTATTAGCCATGCTTATCATCCTGTGTGCTTTAAATTATCTCTAGATTACTTATAAAATTTAAGTATAAAAAATACAGTGAGCTGGGCGTAGTGGTGCATGCCTGTAGTCCCAGTACTCAGGAGGCTGAGGCAGGAGGATCACTGTGAGTTTGAGACCAGCCTGGGCTACACAGTGCGTTTCAGATCAGTCTCAACTCCATAGTGAGGCCCTGTCTCAAAAAACCAAACCAAACAAACAAACAAAAATACAGAGAATTTTAAACTTAAAAAAATTGTTAGAAGAAAAGACACATTGTCATTAATTCCCCTCAAAGTACTTCTCCTTGCTTCAAATGTGCTTGTCCCATGTTCTTGCCATTCTCTGAAGCAGCCCTGTAATTCCTCTTTCATGAGTGTCTTTAGTTGCGCTGTCATGGCTGCCTTGATATCTTGAATCGATTCAAAACATTCACCTCCACCGTCACTTTGACTTTGGAGAAGAGCCAGAAGTTACATGGTGCCAGACCTGGAGAATAAAGTCTGTAGGGCACTGTAACACATGACCCCGTGTTTCTGTTGGATAGTATTGTGTGGCAGTCTTTTAGTGCAACTAAACAATTTTTAAACATTCATTGTGTATTTTGATTACCTCTTGTACAATGTCAGTGCTACACAAATCATTGCCATACTGTACTGGTGGGGGAATAATGATAAGGAAAAACGTTTGTTCATGTTCAGTATAGGTACAGTTTTGCATGGGCCTCACTGCACTGTGCATCACCTGCACGTGGCCCACACATGTAGAACCTGAGGATACACGAGAAGGCTGACTGTGTCTGACAGTTTTGCTTCCATGTATATGAAATTCTGCTAAACAGTGGGAGACTCAAAAGTAACTCTTGGCGTGTTTCTGAAGAAATGAAAAATCTGTTTTGGGAGTCTGGAAGAAGAGATTGTAATGTGGATTAACAAAGGTTATCCAAGGGAATACACATCTAAAGGGTAAACTACATAGGCAGACCTACCTACATAAAGGACTCAAAGCATCTTGAATAAGAGGAATGAGTATAGGTCTTAAATGTTAGAAATTTTGTGGAGAAAACAAGACATCACCTGGATCTAAGGAATGGTTATTATTCTTATGAGAAAGTTTCCAAATTTGGGGGCACTCATAAGTATAGTCCTACTTTCAAAAGAGTGGCATGACCTATATTTATATCAGTCTCAGTTGTCTTTTAGAAGTAGCACACAAAGAAAAACAAGTCCTTCTCTACAGAAGAATGGAGCTAAAAGATTTAAAAAGTAGTTTGCATATACCTAGTGTTCAGACTATTCTCATGTTCATAGGCAAAAATAAACTTTAACAAATTAGGGAAACCAGCACACCCAATTCCTGTCTTGAATCATTGCCCTACACATTAGCCTATTTCTAAAAAATGTTTTTCTCTATCTTGGAATCCTCCAAGTTTATCTGGCCTGTGGAATACTTTTTGTAGTGGAGCATTATGGCTAGTGTGTCAAGGAACTGAATTCTGTGCAACTCAGTTTAGAAAATAGTGATCTACAATAATAAGAAAAGAGACAATCTAATTTTAAAATGAACTAAAGAACAGAATAAACATTGCACCGGAAGACAGCACAGATGGCAAATACACACTTGAAAAGATGCTCCCCACTGTGTGTCAGCGGGGCAATTCCAGTTCACATGAGATACCATGACACACTAATTAGAATGATCAAAATGCTGAGCACTGGGCCGGGGATGTAGCTCAGTGGTTCCTCCGCCTGCCTCGCAAGTGCAAGGTCCTGAGTTCAATCCCCGGTACCAAAAAAAGAAGAAAAAATCCTGAGCACCGACAGTGCCCAATGCTGGCAAGGGCGCTGGAGCAATGGGAACTCTTACTTGTTGCTGATGGGGATGGAAGAGAATTTGGTAGTTTCTTGAAAATCAAATCTACTTTTACCATATGACCTGGTTATGTCTCTCTATTGAAATTAACTATATATGTGAGTGTTGCCAAATTCGGAAACCCTCCCTTACGAACCTTAGCCAGGAATCATGGTCCTTGGTATTTACCCAGTTGAGATGGAAGCGTGTCCGACCAAAACCTGCACATGGATATCTATAGCTTTTGACTCTTAAATGTCAAATTTGGGAGCAACCAACAAGGCATCTGGTAGGTGAGTATATAAATTGGTGGTTGGCACACATTTAGATGATGGAATATTACTCAGCACTGCCACGTGACCTTATGAAGCCCTGAAAGAATGTGGAGGACCTTTACATGCTTATTCCTAAGTGGAAAAGACAATCTGAAAAGACCGAATGCTGTATGATTTCTACCTCTTTCAGAAGAAGCAAAAATATGCCGATATTAAGATAACCTACAGAACAGAAAAAAATGTTTAGCAGCTAATCTTCAGACAAAGGCCTAATTTTAAAATATATAAAGAACTAAAAAAAAAATCAGACCCCTAAATTTAAAGGCCCAATTCATACATGGGCATCTGAAATGAACAGACATTTCCCAGATGATGAAGTACAAATAGCAAATAAATATATGAAAAAACGGGTAACATAACTGGTCATTTCAGAAATGCAAATTAAAACAACATGGAGTTTCTATCTCATTCCAGAGAGAACGGCTGTCACCAAGAAATCAATCAATAGCAAAAGCTGGCTAAGCTGTGGTAGAAGAAAGGAACCCTTCTCCATTCTTGGTGGGAATGTAAATTACTACAACAATGATGGAAATCAGGAGACTCCTCAAACAACTCAAACTGAGGCTCAGTTTGACCCAGCTATTCTTCTTCTAGGAATCTTCCTGAAAGTTATAAGCATCGTACCACAGTTATATATGCACACCCATGTTTAGAGTAGCGTAATTTCTAACAGCTGAGTCTTGGACACAGCCCATGTTCCCATCGACAGATGAATGGATTCAGATGTGGTAGTCATATACAGTAGAGCACTACTCTGCCATAAAGAAGGATAAACTTGAGTCATTTTGAGATAATACATGCATCTCAAGACCATAATTTCAAGTGAAATAAATCAGATACACAAGTTTAAATATTGCGTTGTTTCTCTGGTGTGAGAAACCCAAAGGATAAATAAGGGCCACAATGGAGAATAAATAGTAGGAGATGGGAAGAGCGTGTTCACATGGGAAGGGGCTTGAGAGAGGAGAGGTGGGCGG